CAATCCAATCCCATGAACTGGGCATATACCAAACTAAATTTCCAATCCCATAATCTGGGCAACAAACCAAATTTCCAATCCCATGAACTGGGCAAATACTAAACCAAATTTCCAATCCCATGAACTGGGCATCAAACCAAATTCTAAATTACCTACTATAACCAAAAACTTAAAGAAAAACTCCAAACAAGTTTAAGAGGAGAAAAAACCCAACTCAGAACAAAAGCGACCAACAACAACTCTCGTGACCCAAAAACAAGACACCGAATAACCAACAAAACCCATGGCCCAAATCAAAATTTCCAGCCCACACAAGCTAACAATCTACAATCAAATCAAACCAATTAAATTCAATTCAAGATTCTGACCCAAAATTCAAAATACCTTTATATAGAGAAGAACACGTAATTAGTGGGTAAATCCAATTCAATCACTCTATCAATAATATGCTCCAAACGGAATTCGGATATTGATTCAAACACCAGATACTTGACTTCCTCCAAATTGCATATATAGATGACAGAAATCCAGAAATAAACGTGAAATAGCAAACCAAATATCCAAACTGCCCAGCCTCTTTTTTAGTTGTCTTGCAGTCTTTTGGGCAAGAAGGCTCTTCCTCTTGCTGGATCTAAATTTTTTAATTTTTTTGTTTCAGCCGAAATCAGCAATTTACTCGCAGAAAGCAAGAGGGGTGATTCATTCTTTTTCCTTGCCCTTGAACGCACTTGAGGATGAGATGGGGTCAAGTTTTCTGATTGAATTCTGCAGATTTTCCAGGCACCATCCGAGCAACTTTCTTCCAGAAGTGAGGCGTTGGTTTTACAGTTAAATAAGCGCTTTATAATGCCAATTCTTGTTCCTTAGTCCATCCTTGAACAATACTATGCTCTTCCTCAATTTGACTTTTACTCCTGTTCTCATGGATCAATGCTTTTCCTTTACACCCATTCCCTTCCTTTACGTCACCTCCTGCCATTATAGCATCCCATTCTCTACCGTCAAATTTAGTTGCCTTTCTGCATCTCTACCCAAGGTTGCAAACGTCCAGATGCAATTTTCCCACTTCCAATACATCACCTCTATAAAGTCTCCTTGATGTCATGGTAAAATCATGCCGGTTTTCATGATTTTAACCCAGAAAATTTGCAAACCCTGGGCACTGAGAGGAGTCCAAGCAACGAACTATGAACATACGGAAGGCGGAGATAAAAGTGAAACGAAATCAAGAATTCAGATCCGAAAAGAAAATAAAAAAAAATAAAAAAAACAAAATTGCTAGCCGAACGAGCGGCTCATGGCCGCTCGCCGGGAACGAAATTCAAG